GAAAAAACGCCTTGTCGCCAATGTGTTAACGGCGTTGTTCAAAAGGAATAACGTGTCAGCAAGAGTAATTAGATGGTCGCTTGATGTGCAAAGATATAAACTGGAAATTAAGTATGTGAAAGGGAAAGCGAATGTCATTGCTGATGCGCTGTGCAGAGGAGTACATGTAGAAGAAAGTTCGGTGTCTTTGCAAGGGCTTAACGAAGCGGTAGTGAATGTATTGAGCGTAGACAAAAAGACGAAGTGGCTTCAAGAGTTGGAGCAAGACGAAGATTTTTCGCAGATATTGGATGGTATTGACAAAAATGTCGAAAACTGTACAGTGAGGATGAGAGGCACAAATAACTGGGTCCGAGTGGCAGATTTTATTGTTGAGAATGGGAATCACAAGATGTATAATGAGGAGGGAGCACTGGCATTTGTGGTTCCCAAAAGCGCAAGATATAAAATCTTTCATGAAGCCCACGCTGGTGCCGTGGCAGGCCATTTCAGTGCGTTCAATTTGCTGAAAAAACTGCGCAAAGAGGTATATTGGCCGACTATGGCTCAAGACGTGAGCAGGTGGACAAAGGAATGCCAAGAGTGTTTTGTCCATAATCCTAGACCGGTGGCAATACCGCCGTTGAAGCCAATCGCAACCACCAAGCCGTATGAGCTTATAGGCGTGGATGTGATAGAACTAGGTTTAACAACGAGTGGGAACAAGTATGCGGTCACACATTGACCACTTTTCTAAGTTCGCACAAGCATACCCAACTGCGGATAAGTCCGCCGAAACAATAGCAAACGTAATCTTTTCGCGATGGATAGCCGATGGGTGTAGGTGGCCCAAAGCAATACTTTCTGAAAAAGGAGGCGAGTTCGAGAAAAGGTTATGGCCGAGTTAATGAAAGTCACTAAGATCAACCACATAATGACAAAAGGGTATAACCCTCACGAAAATGCCATTACATTGAATGGTACCATTGTGGCAATGGGTCAACAAAAGTGCCGACAGAATGGGACAAAAGATTACCCTTTTGTATGCTTGCATACTACATGACCCTCATAGGTCCACGCATGAGAGGCCCTATTCTTTGCTGCATGGGATGGATCCGTATTTCCCATCAAAAACAGTACCGAATAACGGAAAATCGGTATATGCTGTTGATAGAGTGGACGATTATAAAGTAGGACTGATGCAATGCATAATGAAAACTCATGAAAGAGTGCGTGAGTACAATGAACGCACGAGATAGAACATGAAAAACGAATAGACAGAAGAAATAAAGTAGATACTGAGAGACTTTCAAAACTGGGAGATAGAGTTTACCTACGTTCGCCTAGAGAAAAAGCTCTTTCGCACCTCAAGCTGGTAAGTGAGTGGGCTGGACCCTTTCGTGTTATTAGAACAAGTGATAATTCGGCGGTGATAACCCGAATAGGAGAAAACTCAGAACCAATCCAGGTCCAGTACGATATGCTGAGAATTGTGCCGAAGCAAATTTCTGATGAAAGAGTAGATACGATAACAAGTAGAGGAAAGAGGGAGAAAACCAAAAGTGAGTGTATAGACTGAATGTTATTCGCTTCAGAGGCGCTGTCATCGAGACAGCTGAATCAAAGGACACCTGCAGTATCGGTGTCACGACGGCTGTCTGGAGGAAGCCTGCCTGGGAGATCTGGACGGCGTGATTTTCCTAGGAACGTTCGCAAAAGAGCCGCTTGGAAGGCTCTGGAGAGCCTGGGTCGCGGCAAGCATATTTATCAGAAGTGACATGAACACCGCGGAAAAGATCAGAGCATGAAAGAAAGGAATGATCAACCTAGACGGAGAAGCGCTGAAGAAGGTTCTAAGGCTCGCGAACGACCGATGTATGGATTGGACGGAGTTCGTGTATGACACCGATGGAATACGGAAGCACGAGCGGATAGAGGACTACGGATTTGAGAAAACGTACGACGACGCCTTGAAGAGCCTCAAAAGTGAATTAGAGGAGCAGGAAAAACACCAACGGCCTAAGAAGGACGGCCCAGTCGCGTTCGCAGCGTCAGAGAGCGCAGTACTGCTGGAAAAAAAATGGTGCTCATCGAGCAATCGTAACAAGAGTAGCAGGCTCCTTCGGAAAGCTCAAGGAGATCCTCGACGAGTGGAAGACAGCGTCGACGTGGATAATGGTGTGGCCTCCAGATAAGCTGTGTACAGAGGCGCAAGTTTGTGAAACTATTCAGCGGTGCCATAAACACCTCGTAGAAGGAGGAAAGTCGTTTCGGTATGTCCTCCTCTAATGGAGACAAACCGCGATGACTGGACCAGGCTCACGGATATGTACCGCATCTTGGATAGCACCTTGAAAAAGAAAGCAGGCCCGTTACATTTAGTCATAACGGCCAGTAACAGAATCGAAAATGGAAAAATATTTATCGAATCAGGAGCTCCGGATGGCTGCCTAGATTTTTATAGAAGGAATCTTGGTGTGGGCAGTGCTAAAATGCTGTATGAAGCCATAAGGAGACGCTCAAGAGAGATGAAGCTGCCCGAGTTGCTCCCGCTGAAACCGCCGTCGAGGTCGCCGGCTCCCCGAGGGGAGAGGATGTGGAGGTCAGGGGATCACAGGCCGAGGCCTTGCGATCCCGGGGTGACCACCTCTACGGGAGTCAAAAGGGTCAGAAGGACCCTATAAAAGGGGGCCGCACTCCAGAAGGACAGTTCCACTCAACGCCGTCAGTGCCCTCCTGCCGAAGGCCGAAGCAATCGAGGTCTTCGCCGACTTCGCCGACTCTTCGCCACTACTCACCTGTTCTATTATTCTCTAACTCATCATTCACCTAATCTTGTTGCTCTATTTTTAATAAATAATTCCGGTTCTGGTGTTTACTACAGAGGTATCTGTGATAACATCGGGGCTCCACACTACATGTATGCCTATCTCTGTGTATAGGATGGGGCGATCTAGCACAGCATGTAATCGACATCTCGAAATTGTTCTACCAAACACCTTCTTCACAAGGCTCACTTTGACTCTGCAGCTGAACACAAGTCGAGTCTTTACGCATCGCGAGTATTTTACAGGCCGGGCCAGGAGTATTACAACTCCAAGTTGAAAGTTGTAAGTTATGGGGGGTCCATCTACCGAACATTAATGCCAGACCCCACGCGAGTCCACGGAATTGATTGACCTGTGGGTGGTCTCCTTGGACTTTGGACTTAACCTCTGGACTTTGATCCCACTGGGATGAATGATGATCTAAATGAGGGTTCTCAAAAAGGGGGGGGGGTCGGCAGTCTTCAGTGTTCAGTCTTCAGTTTTCCGTCTTCACATTTTTTCTCTCTCTCGCCGCGGCCTGTACAACACATTCGGGTTCTCTAATAGGCATAAGCACTCACGCATAAGTTCGTTCCGATAACCTACTGTTATATTTTTTTCCTTTTGCAGTAAATAACGCTGTTTCGCCTACATAAATCGTTGCTCGGTTGCCTCTATTGGAAAGCGACACAATTGTATTGCGTGGCACGACTATACTATACGCATATATTACTGAAGTGAATAGTCTTTTTGACGCAGTTCAAACAGCAAAATAGCAAGATTTTTTTAACTCGCATTACAATCGAGGAGTATGTTGCGGGAGCCCATGAAATTATAGGTGAGGAAGTTGATATATCCAATATCACGATTTGAGTACTTCAAGTCTACAAGACGCCATCATGTCAAGCAGCTATATTTGAGCGGATGCTCAAGGCTGTCGGTGAGTTAGTAGCCACTAATAGCTCAATTATTCTCCTTGGCGATTTCAATCTGCCGAATATATGCTGGCATAGAAGTGAAGGCCCAAAGTAATTGGGTCACGAGCCTGGCGTTCTGTGGAGTTGCGTAGGTGTCTGAACCTTGTATATTTAGTGTCGGAAGCCGCGCACGGGGTCAACATCTTATACCTTATTCTAACTAATGATTCGGAGTTATTAAAGGATCCAAGCACCAGTCGGTTCAGTGTCTCTTTTAAGTGCAACATTGAGGTTTAGAAATTTGAAAAATATTAAGGCGAGACTTTCGGAGCACAAATTTCGACGCCATTATAGAGTACCTTGTAACGTCGACTGGTAAGGATCATCACGATACGTTGACTCAGTCAATGAAAAAAAAGAATTGTTTTCAGCTGTTTTCATCACAACATGGATATCACGGAGGAAGCGACTGTTCTTGGGACTCTCATTGGGTAGTTTAGGCTCATTCACTTTCCATTATCAAATACTCTTGATTAAATGAGTTCGAATTGTAGAAGAAAGAGGCTGGTGCCGTTATCAACTCAATCTCAAGCTGCCCAGGCGCGCCAGCGTCCCCTGTATAAAAGTCAAGAGATGACTCATTCGTTGCAGCATGTCGACTTTCATCTCTTTTCACTTCAGTTTACTCCTCACTTCTCCCTCGATGCATATTCACTTGTTCGGTGGTACAAATTATCTAGTTCTCATTACTATGCTCACAATATTTGCTTAGATTGGCATTTATTTTGACTCATTTGGTGTATCGTTTAATTACCCAAGTTTGAGGACTCGTTCGGTCGATTAATAAAAGTGGTTTAGCTCTTGGTGCTTTGCGTGTTCTATAATAAGACAAGAGAACAATCCGCGTGGCAATATTCTACTGTGATCATTTTCAATAATTATTCGTCTCTTCAGAAACCCAAGACGTGGTGATGTTGACTCCCATACCATTCAATCAGATATAGAAGAAGAAAAAAGAAATCAGCATAGAATAAGGCTTGTTCAGTGGAAGCCAAGAAGATTGGAGAGAATACAAGCAGTTGACTTCGGAAAAAAAGGCTGGGTGAGTACTACAGCCATGTAGAAAAGAAGGCCATTGGTTCTGAGTGCGAAAATGGCTTCTTCAGATAACTCAGGGCTAGATTAAAAGAAATGAGGGACTGGTAGTTTCATTGATGGGGATGGTAATGCTGAATGTAAACACAAATGTAAAGCCAAGCTTCTGGCAAACGTCTTCGCAAAGGATTATCAGAAAGTGATGCCTCGCAAAAGGAGATGTTAGTCCCACTTTTTGGTGACAGGCGATTCAATTTCGTTTCATAGGGAGGAAATATGCAAGTTGCTGGTTCGAGGGCCCAAATCTCGCTCGGATATGCCTTATCATGTTCCTCTGGAGTTCATCAAAAAGGTGGCGTTTGTAATCTCAGGGCCACTTGCGTTTATTTTAAGTTGTGTTTCATAAGAGCTGGATTGCCTTATAGGTGGCGTGTTTCATTTGTCATTTCATTCGACTCCCAAGAAAGCTCCATATTCTTGCCCTCCCAAATAAGGTCGGTGGCCATAACATTCATCTTTGTCAGATTGTTCGAAAAGTGCTGAAGAAAACATTTACGGCTCATTTGGATCACTACGAAACCATTCTAGGACATGGACACAGCTTCCGGAAGGGTAAATAAACGGTAAGCGCCATGTTGCAGGCAGTAAACCACTGGACAGCTTACCTTGATACTGATATCCGTGCGTTATGTATTTGGACTTTGCGAAGGCGTTTTGGCAGAATGTCTCATTCGAAACTCATCGCCAAACACTTTTGTTGATGTACACGCAGAATTGTGAAATAGATTGGCTACTTTCTTACAGATAGGTTTTTTAATGGGAAGAAATTCGATCTCACACTGTTCTTCGAAATTCTTCACTTTCACGCTGGTCTTAAGCCCAACACTCTTTTAGCCGCCAGGGAACCAACCACAAGAGGCAGTTTTACAAAATACGTAGCTTGCAGGGTTACGAGGTATATCAGAAACTACTTCTTTGCGAATAGAACATCTTCGGAGTTTCATAGGCTAGTATGATCAGGAGTGGCCACAGCTAAAGTGAATTCTTTGGAAGCCGCTTTGGAGAAGCATCTTGCATCATAACTCATCATTACAGTCATTATTTGAGTTTTTGAAGCTCAGTTCGCTTGCTTGTTTTCTTTTCGTTCACCATATTGATTTGATTTTCTTGTGTAATAAACAATTACAACAAAGATGTAGAGAAGGATGGTTATCCGCAACGGCGAAAAAAGCTGTAGGATATCGATTGGAGGAATCAGCTAGCCAGCGATCCGACTGGTACGTTCATAACCTACAAGGGAATAGAGCAGCATGTTAGATTGGCCGCTGAAGGATCCTACAGATTCATATATCCCGCCATTGAAGCGTCTTGCTTTGAAATGCACTCCCGCATTCAGCAGTGGAACGCTTTGAATGGCCTAGTTCTGACAAAAGTGATTAAGTCAAGTTACTGCTGTTCATGACATCTCTGTTAACAAACTCCATGCATTTGGAATGGAGCTAGCTTACAAGGGAGGTCTTTCAGGTCGTGGCGCGCTTTTCAGAAATGGTTTGTTGCATGTTGTAGGGGTCCATATAGGGATCACAGAAATGGTCCAATACCTATGAAGTGTGATACAACGAAGAAAACAATGGAGATTACAGCGGCAACTCGAAACATGACGAAATTTTTTCAACTTAGGAGTTTCATGTTGTGTTTATTGTCAAATATAGGTTGGAAAAAAGTCCTGTCACTGTTGTGATTTTTTCTTTTTTATTTTCCAACATGAAATAAAAACTAACAATACATAGTCGCCATGTTAGCCACTACAGTGCTCCACCTAATGGGCAACTCAGCTGTCCCCTTCTCCAGAACTGAGGAGGCTGGCGAGTTGAAAAAAGTAGGCAACTTCTCGATTGATGCCATCAAATTCGCTGAAGTTTTTCTTACCTAGGGAAGCCTTGAAGGAGCGGAACAAGTAGTAGTCGGGGGGGCTAGTCTGGAGAATATGGTGGACGGGGAGCGGTCCCCAGCCTAGCTCCTCAATTTGGCGGTGGGTTTCTTTAGCCACATTGGATCTGGCGTTATCATGGAGAAGGTGCACCGAAGCTCGTCTCGGCCGCTTTCTCGAAGCGCTTGCGCTAGTTTCTGGAGTTGGGCGGCGTAATTGGTAGCGGTCACCGTATGCCCTTGCGGAAGCAGCTCGTGGTGCAGCATGCCCTTCGAATCCCAGAAGCAGCAGAGGAGGACCTTCTTGGAGTGCAGGTTCGATATGGTTGCGCAGGCAGGCGGGTCTTCTCCTCGAGGGAGCCACATGGCACGACGTAGGTTGGAACCATAGAGGACCGCAGTCTTTCATCTCCAATTATAATATCCTCTAGAAACTCCTTCCGGTTACGGTGTAGAAGAGGGATCGACAGAAGCCCACCCTTGCGTACCGCGTGCCATCTGTAAGAGCATGAGGTATCCATCGCGTGAGGACTTTTCTGTAGCCAAGGGCCTGAAGGCGGCTCAGAGCTGTTGTATGGCTACATCCTAGCCTTGTCGGCAATACTGCGCGTGGTAGCCTCTGGATCCTCTCTGAAAGGTTTAAGAACGGGGGAATCTTCTACGCCACGAGGGCGTCCCAGAACGAGTTTTGTCTTCGAAGATCGTCTCTCCCTTTCGGCGAAGCGAGCGAACCAACGTGGACAGTCCTGACGGTGATGGTGTCTCCCCAATGCACAATTGATGTTACGGGCCGCTGCCGTCGCTCCAGTGCCGCGGCGCCACTCATAGAAGATGATAACTCGAAGCTGCTCCAGTAAAACTGACATCATAAATAAACACAGGGAGGAGCAGGAGCCTTGATATACCTCTTGTGGAAAAGCCTCGAGAATGTTCTACAACCTTAGCATGTTACGTCATGTTCGAGCTTCGAAGAACAAAAGCTGTAGGCTATCTAAAAAAGACTGACAGAACTTTCTCTCCAGCCGATATTACGTATAAAAGTGATTGAACTCTTCTACATTGCAACTGACGCTGGAACCAGAACACGGCCCATCGGCCAGCCTCTTGCCTACAACCTGGGAACAACAATGAACACAACAGGAAGGCACCAAAACGCTCATAATTAACAATGTACTCGTCATAGTTAGCCACTATAGCGCTCCACCCAGTGGAAAGGTAAACATTCCCCTCCTCCCAGAGTTGAGAATGCTGCGAATAGAGTAAGTCAGCGTCCTCTCGACTGATGTCATCAAAACTGCTGAGAGTTTTCTTAGCTAAGAAAGCCTTAGGAAGGTTTGCAGGTGGCAGTCCTAGGGGACTACGTCAGAAGAATACTATGAGCGGGGTTTGATCTTCCAGCCTTGCTCCTCAATTATATGGTAGGTCGTCATAGCAGGTATGGGGTCTCGTGTGCTACGAACGAGGTGACCCAAAGTCTCGTCATTTTTCTCCAGCAATTTTCACTCGTTTCGGGAGCTGAGCGACACAAATTGTGGCGGTGACCGTCTGTTCTTATGGGGCAGCTCGTTCAGCAGCACCTCCTCTCGTCCCAGGAGCAGCACAGGAGAACCTTTCCGGAATAAATGCCCGGTTTGGACTGCTAGAATGGATCTTCTCCTTGACAGAGACAAACGGTACTGTGTGGGTTGAAATCATGGAGGACCCACCGCTCATCCCAACTAAGCAGTCTCCCAGAAACACCTTCTGACGAGGGAAGTGAAGGGGAGACTAAGCAAGAGGTCCCTGGGTGCACAGCGTGCCATCGGTCAAAGTATGAATGATCCATCAAGCCAGTACTTCTTGGTAGTCAAAGGCTTACAGTGGAGTGGACGAATGTCAGTTAGGTACTTCCGAGTCTTGTCGCAAGACTACGGGTGGTAGGCTCTGGATCCCCCTTGTCTGCTTGAGAATGGTGGAGTCTTATACTTCCGTCCCAACCAAGGTTTGTCGTCGAGGATCGAGTTTCTTTTCGCGAAGCGAGCGAACTAAAAGTAAACGATCCTGACGGATGTGGTGTCCTCCCTCAATGCACCGCTGATGTTAGGGACAGCTGCCGTGGATCCAGTGCCGCGGGGCCACTGATGGAAGATGATTTTGTCTGTCGAAGATCGTCTCTCCTTTCGGCGAAGTGCGAGTCGAACCAACGGGGACAGTCCTGACGTATGGTGTCCTTTCCACCTAATGGGCAACTCAGCTGTCCCCTTCTCCCGGAACTGAAAAGGCTGCGAGTTGAAAAGTAGGCAACTTCTCGATTGATGCCATCAAATTCGCTGAAGTTTTCTTACCTAGGGAAGCCTTGAAGGAGCGGAACAAGTAGTAGTCGAGGGGGCTAGTCTGGAGAATATGGTGGACGGGGAGCGGTCTCCCAGCCTAGCTCCTCAATTTGGCGGTGGGTTTCTTTAGCCACATGTGATCTGGCGTTATCATGGAGAAGGTGCACCGAAGCTCGTCTCGGCCGCTTTTCTCGAAGCGCTTGCGCTAGTTTCTGGAGTTGGGCGGCGTAATTGGTAGCGGTCACCGTATGCCCTTGCGGAAGCAGCTCGTGGTGCAGCATGCCCTTCGAATCCCAGAAGCAGCAGAGGAGGACCTTCTTGGAGTGCAGGTTCGATCTGGGTTGCGCAGGCAGGCGGGTCTTCTCCTCGAGGGAGCCACATGGCACGACGTAGGTTGGAACCATAGAGGACCCAGCTTTCATCTCCATTCATAATATCCTCTAGAAACTCCTTCCGGTTACGGTGTAGAAGGAGGGATCGACAGAAGCCCACCCTTGCGTACCGCGTGCCATCTGTAAGAGCATGAGGTATCCATCGCGTGAGGACTTTTCTGTAGCCAAGGGCCTGAAGGCGGCTCAGAGCTGTTGTATGGCTACATCCTAGCCTTGTCGCAATACTGCGCGTGGTGGCCTCTAATCCTCTCTGACAGGTTCAAGAACGGCGGAATCTTCTACGCCGCGAGGTGTCCAGACGAGG